GTAATGACGTATGGTGACGAATACAGCTATTCACGAAAAAGCACCGCCAAGGCGCTGAACACAAAAAAGATCTATAACCATTAGTGCACAAATGTAGAAGAAGAAGAAGAAGAAAAGACCAATGTTTAGGCTACTATAGAGGCTTTGCACCATCCCGTGATGGCAGCCACGACAGGAGGCACAACAATAGTCTTTTCCCCCCAGGGAAACTGAATTCTTTCTCATGTAAATCAGATAAGACCAGATTCAGTTTTTCATGCCTCCTTTCATTGCTGCTATCATGTGATAGTGCAAAGCCTCTATTCCTTATTAGGACAAGGGAGCAAAGCAGACATAAATTAGTTGATTGGTGTGGTAATGACGTATGCTGACAAATACAGCTATTCATGAAAAAGCACCGCCGAGGCGTGGAACACAAAAAAGATCTATAACCATTAGTGCACAAATTGTATGCTGGAGCTACTAACTGATTGCTTGTACCTGACCTAAGATTATGTTTAGGGACATCTGGTGTGATTAAGTCAGCAACATATGTCGGTGCTATTCCATGTAAAGCCTTATAAGTAATTAGTAATATTTAATATATTATCCTCTATTGGCAGCCAGTGCAAATTGAATAATACAGGTGTTATATGATCATATTTATGGGTTAGTGTCACCATTCTTGCTGCCGTGTTTTGAATGCTCTGCAGTCTATCAATACTGTATCTAGGTAATCCATATAGTAACAACAACAATTGGGTCATAAGATAAAAAGCTTATTAACTGAATTACATACAATAGGTCAGGCCGGAAGGGAAAATATTTGGCTCTTTGTCAATTGTATGGTACTCACTGAACATTGGTCCATATGGTATGACCTCAAATATTTTTCCATCCTGCTCTCACACTCAGTCAATTAGTACATAAGACTGTTTTTTGTTACTAGTTAGTGGCTCTTGTGTCACGATTTCAGGGCAATGTCACTTGTCGGAATTTACATTGTAATCCCACAGCTAGGAATACTGTACCTGTTGTGTAGAGATATCCCATTCTGATAAGGACCATGCACCCTGGTACCATGTAAAGATAGGTACATCATGATCATTGACTGGACAAGGTTCTTTGCTTGTTAGATCTGGCTTAAGATGAATGGTGTTGGCTTCATCTATTCAAGAAAAAAAAAAGACTCTTAAGTTAGTGCCAAGCTGTACTTATTTGAAGTCCTTGTCTGAGAAGACTTGATGGTAAGACCATCAAGTCTTACTGGGACTTGAAGCATGACCTCCCGCACAATGGACCAACACCCTTGCCAACTAAGCTAACCAGGTGATGGTAACTTGGTGGCTCAAAGAAGAAGATCAACTCAGAGGTTGTTTCAGGGTTGCATAGATTGAGTTCAACAAATCGCTTTCAATTTTTTGTTGCAATATTTTACCTATTGTGATTGTACACTTTCCAACTTCATTTAGCTTAGTTCGTATACTCCAAAGTATTTCAGGCAATGTTTCTTTGCTTTCTTCATTGGACAAAAATCCATCTTCAAGCTGTAAATAAAATTGTACATCAGGCATCAGTGATTGTACAAGAGACTGACCTAGATTCTTTTTAAAATTACAAATATCTCATCCTTATTAGCATTCTTCAAATAAAAGACTTTATAGAATACACTCAATTGAAGAATCGTTGTTGGGTTCAGAAACATAGAACATAAGAGCTGAGAACAAAATGGCACATGGGAAATGACATAATTATATTATAATGTATTCATTTGCGCCATCCATTCACTCGGTTTAGAATGCCAAATGTGCATTAAAAACAGTGGATGATGCCACGGGTTGCCGGTCACAGCATGCATCTAATTAACGTATGGTACTTCCTACATGCCATTTCGGTCACAGTTCTATGTTCTGTTTCTGAACCCGACAATGATTCTTCAATTGAGTGTATAAAGGTCCTTGCACAGAATGTGTATGGTCACTCCAATCAGATCAAATTAATGTGAATTGTTAAGAGTTTTTGGAATACATATTTACAGACCTCCAAGGTTGTTAAGTAGTTTGCAAGCTTTTTTACGACTCCTTCATAACTAATCGTGTCTGAAGTTGAACCAAACACAAAACAGACATTGAAAAGAAGAGCATTTCGCGAGTACTTGGCATTTTCTATGCTGACTGGACAGCCAACAAACTTGTAATTCAGAGCATTTCTGAAACAAAGAAAATGTTTTTTGCTTGGTATTGTGTAGTTCCAAAAATTATCCATACCCCCCTAACAGAGGAATTTTTTAAGACGCCCCCTTACCCCCGGAAATTCCAATTTTCTTCCATGCAAACTCTGTAATTTTTGTTCTTTCTCTGACCACCCCCTACTCTTCGGAAATTCCAAATTCCTCCGTGGGGTGGGTATGGATGATTTCTGGAACTACACATTATATGGGACCTGTCCCGTCAAATCTTTGCCTTGCTGGTCATTTCTACAAGTAACGTTTTGCCAGAACTAAAGTACAGTATGACCAAGCTAAAACTACTTTTGGCCGCTGGCATTTGTTTTAAGCCCCTTTTTAATGGTAAATAGACTAGGGTCAAATAAATTGTTCCAATAAATCTACTGTACGTTCTCTAAAGAATTAATATTGATTGACAGTACTCCACAGTACTGCCAAGACAACATTTTGTCTTGATCAGCAAGTAAAAAATGAAAACAGTGGTTACTAAAGGCACCTCTAGACAGCTGGCAATTGAGTCATTACAAAATCTTATCCTAGACTGTGTAATGCAACAATCATGTTCAGGTACATGTACATAGCTGGTAAAATTAATATACTTACACAGTAATAACTTTACTCTGGAGTTCTGGTTTTGGAATGATATAAACTGCTACACAATCAAATTCCTCTTTAGAAATAAAGTTATCTGGAGACTAAAGATAAAAGGGGAGCAAGGCTCAATAAACTTATTCATCCAAGATTCCTAAAATGCCTTTTTACACGCTGGAACTTTTAGCTGAAACTTGTGTGCAACTGCATTGAGAGACAAGATTCAGAACGAATTGCACTGTATAACACCCCCAGCTTTGTTGCAAGAGAGTTTCACAAAGAGCAGAACTGCTTTCTACTCCTGCAACCAAAACTTAATATTTGGGTCACGAACAAGTTACAGGATGAAATTGTGCCATGCAAAACGTCTTTCGGCTTGAAACTTATTCAACATGCCCCAGTGAACAATTGAATCAGAGCCAAATTCAACATTCCCAGCGAGCAGGCAACATGCATAAACATGGTTAATATTGCGCCATCTAATATCCCAGTGTAAACATAGAAGTACAAAAATGTACGAGAATCAAGTAAAATATTTTACCTATTTTCATTTTCCTTATTTAATAGCTTAGTTAGAGCTTATTCGATTCTATTTTCGAGGTTTACGAATTGAACCTAGCCATTATTGGCTCTTGTTTTTCTTGATATTTTTAAAATGATCTATAGTATTTCCTTACCTGGTAAACAATCTTTGGACCAGCGATCGGATGAAACTCACAAAAAAGAATGCATTTGATTTGATCTGTCGTCATTTGGCTCAATCACAAGGCAAATAAACTCAAAAATTTCAAGTAATGAAAAATTTGCTCACTCGTCCACCATTTTGGATTTCTTCTCTCCCCAGGCCTTTGCTAGATAAATAACACAGGAGCCCCATCAAATATTCATATCTTCTTTATATATCTCCTGAATATCTAAAATTTACTATTAAAAAATGTATTTAAAAGAAAATAAAGAATATAGTTTAAAGAAAAAAACACCATATAATGACGCGAAAATTAAGTGCCCCCAATTATTGAAAAATGAATAATATGAAATTATACATCGCGCTTTTGGATCCCTGTGTGTAACCAAGATGGCGGCTTCCACAACATTTTCGACGCTTTACGAGATTCTTTGATAGTTTTCTCTTATCTAGAAAAATATTACGATGTTCAATATTATTTCTAAGTTTACGGGATATGTATTCGGCTCCGACGAAGATGGAAATTCCTCTATTGCAAAAAACAAGGACAAATCTCCCCAAAATCCCAAAGACAACAGTTCAAAGAAAGTGTCAAATTCTGTCAAGAAAGACGAGGATTTGCTTAGAAAATCCTGTTATGGTAAAGTTTCAAGGCTTTATGATGGTGCGGGAGTCATAGATGATGAAGTTTACTTCACTTTTGATGTGATAATTGGCGGTTCTCGTCTTGAAGTTGGTAACGAAGTTCATTTTGAAGCCAAGAGAGAAAACAATACTAGCGGATGGAAAGCAACCCGTGTGAGGCGCTTCAAGGAATGGGGAACATTTCAAGAGAACGGAGTTATAGAAAACGCCATTGGGTTTGCAACTGCTTTAAAAGGAGACATTTTAGAGCTGAACAATGGGATGAGTTTTAATATGTCAGTACTAAAACACCAGCCATACTCCCCCTGCAAGGGTGACTGGGTCAAAGTAGAATTAGAAAGATTCACAGATGATAGTCTTGAAATCCGGGGGGTGAAACCCTTGAGAGAGAAGAATCTATCAGGGAAGGTCAATAGTGTTTTCCCTGGTTATGGGTATATAAACGAAGAGGTTTATTTCACATTTGGTGCATGTGTTAGAGGGTATAGGCCTTGCCGAGGGGATGATGTGCAAGTGACAGCTGTTGAGTCAGTACAAGGGAAATGCAAGTGGAGGGCTGTGAATGTGGAGCCAAAGAAAATTCCAAAGCAAAATAGGTAACAAATCATATTGTTTCTAAAATAAAACTGCTGTGTTTATATAGAATATGGGTGACATTAGCTGCTACGGCACTGTCTCTAATAGCCCCTGTGTAGTTCATGCGTGGGGTCATTAGTTTGATTGTGAGTTGAATTTGTTTTATGTATTGTTCTCTCCCTTGCCTCAAGAGTTTTTTCTGGTTTTCCTTCCTCCATAAAAATTGACATGTGGGTTTTAGTGTTGCATGCTAAAAAAAAAGAAAACTCTATTTACATGTGATGGTGAGTCCAGAAATAGAACCTGAGATGACAGAGGTAAGATATGCACTACAAACGTACCTCTATGCCAACCTTGATAAATAATCAATGCTCAGCTATCTTATTTCTTTTTCAGTCCATGTGTTGGTAACTTACAGCAGTTCTTGGGGAATAAAATGGCTGAGCTCTTATCTGACAAACATGGAATAGTAATCTCTGGTAATCTTGACTTTGGGGACATAGCAATAGGCCAATCAAGAACATTATGCATAAATATAAAGTAAGTACTTCAGTATAGCTTAACCTGAAATGAAAATAAGTGTATAAACAGGGGCAGATCCAGCCAAAATATAAGAGGGGGCTTGACGGAATTTCTCTTCTTGTATGTAAGAGCTCATTTTATCTTAAATCTATTACTCTGATCAAATAAAACTATTTACTGTAATAATGATAATAATAATGGGTTCTTATATAGCACATTTCAAATATCTTAATGCGCTTCACAGAGGCTTGAACCATGATCTCCCGCACAACAGACCGACGCTCTTACCAACTGAGCTAATCTGTTGGTTATGGCTGAAGAGAGGGACTACAGCCACTTTGTCCCTCCCTTGATCCAACCCTGATAATTACTTATTGTTGCAATGGAATTGAGCGGCATATGCATACTATATGTACCATATATGGAATTTCCCATAAGGCATTTTCTAGACATAAACATGAGTATTCAGCAAAATGTCCTCACTATGTAAGGAAGTATGTACAATTGACAAGTTGGATATTTAATAGATTGTCCTGCTTGTCACTCATATTTTTTGTAGAGCTTATTCACCAAGGCCTCATGTGTTTACTAGAAGCTAGTACATATTATATATTTATAAATTAATTTGCAGAAATACAGATGACAAGGAACATACCTTCAAATCTTGGTCATTTGTAAGAGCAGACCCTCAGTTTGAGATCCAACTGTTAAGCATGGAAAACCATTCACCTGTACCTCAAAATTCCAAGAGAAAAACAAGTGAAAGTGCAACAAGAATGCTGTATTGTGGTATGCAAATACCATCACAAGAAACAAGAAATCTTAACATTAAGTTTACTGCAAAGTAAGGATTCTTCTTTACTCTTTGGTTGCTTTAGTTCTTTTAAGAGGAGTGTCCACTGTAACCATACATTTTTTGGTACTAAATTGTTTACACTTTTGAGGGCTCGTAACTCTGGTTCTTTTAAATGAAATGTGTTCAAATTTTACAGACTTAATAAATTTGAGATGCTTTATCAGGTGACAAAACTCTTTATTTGCTAAGTATAGTTCCAAAAACTATCCATACCCCCCTCACGGAGGAATTTTTTTAAGACACTCCCCTACCCCCCGGAAATTTCAATTTTCTTCCATACAAACTCTGTAATTTTTGTTCTTTCTCTGAACCCCCTACTCTTTGGGAATTCCAAATTCCTCTGTGGGGCGGGTATGGATGATTTCTGGAACTATACAAGAATAAAATGAAAAACTTGCCCCAGTCTCGTGCTTGTTTCTAAAGTGGCCAATTGGATTTTTTGGTTTGATTCTAGAAACTTAGGTAGAGTGAAGCAGTTGGTGGTCTTAGCCTTTGATTGTGGTGAGATAGGTCGTCATGTCACCAGTAATGTGGTAGACGATCATCAAGATATGTTGGCACCTGTTACTCCTTACCAGAGAAACAGGAATAGAGGAAGAGAAGCATGGGATAGATTTGTTGAGAGCGGCTCTAGAGAAAGATGGATTGTACCTGGAGAAAGACCAACAAGGTATGTTATTATCATCATCACCGTCATTAACATTATCACTGAGCAGCAGTATAACAGCAGCATTATCATTATCATCATCAGCAGCAGCAGCAGCAGTAGCATCATCACCATCATTATCATCATCAACAGCAAAAGCAACAGTAGCATCATCATCATCATCAGCATCACCACCTTCACCATCACCACCATCATCATCAGCAGCAGCAACAGAAGCATCACCATCATTATCATCATCACTGAGCAGCAGACAGCAACAGTAGCATCATCATCAGCATAATCATCATCATTAGCATCACCACCATCACCACCATCATCATCATCAGCGGCAGCACCATCGTTAGCAGCAGCAGCATCATCATCAGAGCAGCAGCATCGCCATCATTATCATTATTAGCAGCTCAGCAACAGCATCATCATTATCATCATTTTCACCATCACCATCATTACGACCAGGAACATAGCCAGGCCATCATCATGTCTTCATATCATTGCCCTCATATCGTTGGCATCATTATCATCTTCCCATCATCATCCTAATCATTGTCATCATCTTCATAATCATTACCATCACCAACATTGACATCAACATCATCTCTTTTTTTACTCTAGAAAGACCAAATTAATCTTCCCCATCAAGTTAAAAATGTACAGCGTTCCAAGAGACATCAGGAATTGCATCATGGATGACAGAGATCTGACAGCTCTTGTTCCTGTTTTAACAGAGGTGAGTCCTCTTTGACATTGCCACTTTAAACATTGCCCAGTTTTTGACTATTATTTGGACTGCTGTCACAGGGCTTAAAACAACAGCCAGTCATCTGACAATGTCCCATCAATGTTGGAACTTGTTTGGTTAAATCTTTGCCTTGTCGGTCATTTTCTTCAGACTGCTCAGTAACATTGAGACTGAAATGAGGTATGATCGAGCTAAAACTAATTTGGCAAGTGATCATGAACAAAGACTGACCTGCCGTTATTTAAGCCCTGTTACACTGTTATTGCATTATTCTGCAATCATCTTATTGCATACTTTTCAGCCACTAACGATGCAAAACCATGCAGCAAAGTTTGGCACACTGTTGTATGCAGAAGAACTTCAAATGGAGCTTGATATGAGAGAATTTGACCTGCAAAATGTAAGTGGTATATTCAGATGGGTCAGTTGTTGCACAGATGTTCCATCCCTTCTGGACAGATGTGAAAAGATTGTAATGAGGATGTGAACAAACTGGTTGAGGGTGAAACAACTTGCAATTGTTAGTAAGCATGAAAAAAGCTTTTATTTGTTTTTACACTATGCGTCCAGTATATGTTATGGACCTTAGCCACTGCCAGTTTCTTTGCCAATAGTATTTTGCAGTCTAAGTACCATTATTTCAAACTTTGAACCTCGATTTCCCAAAAAAGTATTTTGACAACCAAATTTTTGCGAACACATTTTCATCTCTACGGTTCAGGTCAAATGTTGAACTTCACAACCAGAACTTATTAACATCGAAGAGGACCGCCTTGTTATCCATTGTTTCAATAATCCCCTTCACAGTTCCCTGCGCCATCTTGAAAGGTGGCCGTGCCTTTGCATCGAAGCAAGACGAACAGTGAGCATGCAATGATAGAGACCTTTTTTTAACACCTTGGACAATTATTCACATGTGTCTATCATTGCAAGCTCGGCGTTCGTCTCGCTTCGATGCATAGGCACGGCTACCTTTCAAGATGGCGCAGGGAACTGTGAAGGGGACTATTTGGTTGGGCTCATGTGAAGTTCAACATTTGACCTGAGCCTAAGAATCTTTATTTCAAAATAGACTTGTTCAAGGTGTGAATTGCCCCTTTAAGATATAATTGCTGGCATGATGATATATTCTAATGCCATTTTGTGTGTTTTATTGCATCATTTTTCAAACTCATTTTGGGTCTACGTAATACCTAGGTAACAATGGATTTGTATAGAGAGTATTTAAGCCTACGTGTTCCTGGTCTTGCAGAGGGTAGACCTTCACTTCTGATTGGTGACACTGTAGTGGCTTCCCTTACTGGTATGTGTTATTCACTGAGTGCATCTTGTTGAAAAGATGAGGCAGTAAGCCGTGTGGGATGGGCTCGGAAATTATATAAGAACATGTCTAATAGGTAAATTACGAGCGTAGTATGAAACAACTGAAGAAGAGGGCCAATGGGCCTTTCACAACTTCAAGTCGCGTAAAAAATGGGTCAGCTCAACTAGAAACCGTGGACAGCTGTTTCGGCCGGTATTGGGCCTCGTCAGCACGGTGTATCTAGTGAACTGGAAAATCCCACGGAAAAGTAGTACATGATAGATGAGGCAGTAAGCCGTGTGGGATGGGCTCGGAAATCATATAAGAACATGCGTAATAGGCAAATTATGTGCCTAGGCTCGTAATTTACCTATTACGCATGTTCTTGTTGAAAAAATAGGAAGATTGGTTGACACGTGACAATTCGAAAGTTTCGCATTCGATGCATACCGCTGTTTTTGAAGACTACAGGCTCATCTGCACAGGCTTAGCCTCGTTTATTAGTCAGCTATCCACAGATACAATTAAAATTCCATGGGTTTTTAAAACATTGGTATTGTTAAAGCTGCACATTCTTTACTGTACAGTTGACTCTTGGAATGATTTAGTGCTTTTGAACAAGGCTAAGCCTGTGCAAATCAGTCTTCACCTATCTAAAATGTCATATCGTGGTAAATAAGAGGACATACCACGCCAAACCAGCGGAATTTTTTTTTTTCGTTACGAAAAAAAAAACATGCAAAAGGTTTGGCCTCGCATTCAAGGCTCAGAATTTTATCTATGGAATGACACGTGGTATGGAATGGGAAAACGTTACACCCAAGCTAGTGATGAAGAAATAGAAAACGTGAGCGCGTGCTGTGTGCAGTTATAAAGCACCTGGGTGTTGGCAGAACACGAGAGAAGTGTTAGGAGAAGCACGACGCATAGCGGAATGATTCTCGACACTTCTCAAGTGTTCTGCCAATCCCCAAGTGCTTTATGACTGCACACAGCACAGCAAGCAAGTTTTTTATTTCTTTTATAAAATACAAATTACAATAATAGATAGGAATGACGCAACGGAAAGTGCGCGCGTGTGCAATGTGCTCTCATAAAGCACGCGCTCCAAACCAATCACAACGCGATATTCAAAACTGTTATCTTATAATGTCTATTAACTAGCCCTTCTCTTGTTTTATTTTTCTTAAACTAGATGGTGTCTATGATGCTCCTAAGTATGAGGGTTACGTCCATGAGGTTAGTACGTTAAAGGACACGTTTAAAAAACGTCTTATGTCAAACCTTTATTTTTTTGTTTGCCTTGCCTATGCGGTGGGCTTCTAACCTCAATAAATAAAAAACTTCGTCAGGAAAATTATGCGGATTATAATTAGGTATAGCTTGGAGTCAAAGCCACACATGCGCAAACGTTTTCTACCTCGTAGCGCAATAGAAATGATGTAACACATGAGAGAGCACAAAGCATAGTCACCTCACTGATATCAAGATATTTTAAACACGAGAAAATGAAATTTTCATTGAAATAATCATTCGTGAAATATTTAATGTTCTCTATTTCTAAAAAAGTGAAATGAAACGCACGCATGCGCAAAGGATTTTAGCCATTAATAAAGCGGTGCATCCCATACTGGAAAGAAACTTGTATGTGTACGCGTCCTCTGTGGACATCACTGTTCGTCACTCTGGTTTTCCTTCAAAACGTATAAATCTTTCGCCTTTTACTAAAGATTTCCGTGGAGGGGAACAAGTTAACGAGTCTTTAGACTAATTTTTTGTTTGCCCTGCCTTCGAGGCGCGGCTTCTCACATCAATAGATAAATAAAATTCGTCAGCAAAATTAATCTTACTCCGACGAAGGAATACAGCCGAAAAGTCAGTTTTACAAAGCTTTTTACGGTGATTCAATTCGTCCACAAGTTCCTGCAGTATGATTAATATGCGGGTTATTATTAGGTATAGTTTTTAATCAAATCCACGCATGCGTAAACGTTTTCTCTATCGTAAAGATGAGAGTATATGGAGTATGTCTCTATCGTAGCGCATTAGAAATAATGTAATACACGAGAGAGCATAGTAACCTCACTGATGTAAACACATTCTAAAAACACGTAATTGATGAGTACATGTGTCTACTGCTGATAGATACACAGCAGCATTTTTGAATCATGTATATGTAGAATATTCACTTGTATTCTTGTGCTAATCTTGTGCTAATCTGCGCTTTCTAAATGTAATTTATTATTTATTATTATTTATATTCAGGGCTTAATATTCTACTTACGGAGCTCAGTTATTCCTTTAAAGGGTTCAAACATTGTCACTGTCACAATCTGAGAAATGATATAATACATGAGAGACCACAAAGCATAGTCATCTCACTGATATCAAGATATTCTCAACACGAGAAGTTAAAATTTGTTTAATCTATAATCATTCGTGAAATATAATTTTCTCTATCTCTGAAAAAAAAAGAAAAGAAAAATGAAACGCACGCATGCGCAAAAGATTTAAACCATTAATGAAACGATATGATGCCTGATCAACCACAATACATCCCATACGTGGAAGATTTTTGTATCTGTACGGGTCCTCTGTGGACATGACTGCTCGTCACTCTGGTTTCCCTTCAAAACGTATAAATCTTTCGCCTTTTACTAAAGATTTCCGTGGAGGGAAACAAGTTAACGGGTCTTTAAACTAATTTTTGTGTTTGCTCTGCTTATGCAGCGGGGCTTCTCACCTCAATAAATAAATGAAAGATCTTAAGCAAAATTAAAATGCGGGTTTTCATTAGGTATAGTTTGGAGCCAAATCCAAACATGCGCGAACGCTTTCTTTAGCGTAGCGCATTAGAAATGATGATGTAATACACGAGAGAGCACAAAGCATAGTCACCTCACTGATATATTCATTCTCATCGATAATTATACATATTATAAAATATTATATATGATAACAAATATAATAATGTATATAATAATTATCAATCATATATCTGTAATGATGAAAAGGTAAATTATACACCGTGAAAAGATGAAAAAAGTAAGTTTTTTCATCTTTTCACGGTGTAT